CCCACAAAATTTTGACTTAAAAACGTCCCTCAATTTCGCCAAACGCAAAACATTTACACATGCGGTAAAAGTGCGCCCTATCCTTTTTTGTAACGTTTTCCTTGTTCCTTCCTTTCTACTTCCGGTCCGGTAAACAGTCGTTCCTCATCACTCATAATAAATTCAAATGGAAAATTTCCTCTGGTGATTTACGTATATGAGGCAGAAGATGGATATGTCAAAAACCCCACTTCCGCTCCATCACCACAAAAAACTTTGATCTGAGCAGTTACAAAACGAAGGTCACTGGGTTTACTTCGAAATTAAAACGCAGGTCTTGTAGAGCAGAATTGTCTTTTTCAGACACGGATGCTACAGACACTTTGCCATGAACCAATCACTTCACCAAAAAACGACAACAATAGTGAGAACGCTACGTGCTTATGGAACAACCTAATATATCCAGCTAAGGAGAGTGAATGGCATGGTGTTGAATGTGAATTCAATGTTCAGACAGAGAAATGCATCTATCTTGATCATAAACTGATCTTTAATCAGCTTCTTGGATGACGGCATGAAACAATCGCCACATTTGGACTTATAGACACCCACAGCTTCTTCACGTTGTACAGCAGGTAGGAAAGTTAATTCAGGGTTAGCAAATCATGATGGATCAGTGATGTGTGATGGAGACCGCCGGCACGCCTTTGAATTCTCTTTTAAGTGGAAGAGGAGACCAACGAATTGGGCGAGAAGTGGAAGCAAAAAATTCCCAAAACAAACCCCTTCTATTCACGCGCCACTATCAAAGCTTGCCACAAAAGGAGCCACGTACCCTTCCCTAAAATAAACCTCAGAGCATGAAATCAGGCACGGCTACTGATATGTAAAAATCACTGCCAACTTAGTGAGTGAGGGTGGTTTCAGGCTACATTGTCTGCTGGCAACTCATACGACGAGATTTCTAGAGAAGGGAAGGATACCCGACCAGTGGAGGACTCTTGCACAACTCTTCTAGCAAGAAAGGCGGGAAAAAAGTTCGTGGTTTTTGGGCAAGCCGAATATTTGTAGACGATTTAGCTGCAGCGGACTCATCCACTGTCGTTACGGAGGTTTGTTGTGAACAACGAATACTCTTACACCGCATTGTCAGTAGACGACAAAAAGCCGATATTGAGTGAAAATCAAAGCCGTTTTGACTGGTGGTTTGTCCGACCAAGGAGTGGACTAACTTATAAGAGCCACAGCAGTCCGCAATACAAGAAGCTTTATTAAAGGCAGTAGATCGGCGGAATGAGACCCGTGACAAAACAAGGTCCCATCCCATGGTGAGCGGGGCCAGAGAATACAGGAGATAAGCGCTGCTTCCGCGTTGAAATTTCGGGGTTTAGAAGTGGAAGAGAAAGATCGGACTTTGGCCGATAGGTTCCATATGGGGCTCCTACCCTGTGACCTTGTTTTGTCACGGGTCTCATTCTGCCGATCTACTGCCTTTAAGCAATGTCTCGGCCATTTACTCCTTACTCATTTCTGACCATGTATCCGAAAGCAGCACCTTCTCGCCAAAGATGTGTAGTGCAGCGCTAATTAGTCGATGCAGATATGGGATAGAAAGGCCACCCGTCGATAATTTCAACTTATTTTTAGACCTAAAGTCCCAGTGACCAAAATTTGTTCAAGTCTAGGACAGATTACCAAGGACAGATACGGATTATCAATAAGCTACGAAGCTTAGTCACTGATTCACGATTACTGTAAATTATGAAATAGATAATTATATTGGCTTTACGGCTAACCTAAATGTTGAAACTTCGCAAGAAGTTGCAGTTTGAAGCCGGAAATGTTGAAAAAGAACAAGTAGGAAGCTATATCTAGCTAGTTATCTATAATAGATGACAAAGTTAAATTACTCACTGACCCGCCTATGATGATTCTTAGCAGTAAAGTGCTAAAGCTCTTTTATTATTTTCCCTTAAAGTAATTTAGTACAGTGGTATCCGTGCAGAATTCAGTACAAGAGCCAAATAAAATTTGTGCTTTTGTTATCTCCGTTTCTTCCGCTTGACGGAATTTGACGTTGAATTTAGTTGGCATTGCTAGGGGTGACACAGCAGATTGTATCGTTCCATCAAAGACTCGAAATGATGCGAGATTTGTTCAACACTACTTCAAAAAAAATTAGTAAAGTCCTCTGCATCTCTTCCTATAAAGAAAGACTATTGTGCTTTCGATTTCTGCTGGTTTTTCACAGGAAAAACCCCGTAATATTCAAGCTTGCCACCACCGCTCGCTCCTAACACGCTCCTACTGAGCGAGTTTGCCCTATCCAATACATTTTCAAACAGATTATACCCTTTTCAAACTGAAGTTCTCTGGAATTTGAGCTAAAAAACTTTTCCGTAACGGCTACAATACAAAGGTGCACGTTGTATAAGAAGATTTGCGTGCAAAAGCTTTTAAAGCGTTCGCAAAAGCTATCCGAGAAAAACCAATGTGATTTGAAGTTGAAGCTGTAATTATCGCATTATGTATATTCACTATCGCTTATAATAGCTACGTATTCTTTTTAATGTAATATATTTTGTATCCCCTCCCCGTGGCATACATGGTCATCCATTAGCACTCGCTCAGGCACCTGTATGCTATTGTCATTTTCAAAAGGGTAAGTCTTCGGTTTGTCGGTCTAGTCAGTGAACAGGCAGAGTCTAAGAACTTTGCTTGTGGAGCTGTAGAGACGTTTAATCGGATAGGTTGCAAATCGTTGGAGGACGCGCAGGAGGAACCAAAGGCCTAGCCGGCAGTGTCCGCAGGAGATAATTAGAGGCGCGAGCACTGCGCCAGAGATTTGGCCAGGATCCAAGAAAACTTGGCAGGAATCCATAAATGTTTTTGAGAAAAGTTACCTCGTAACTTCGCTGGGGAAAACGCTAGAGAAATAAGTGGGGCAGTTTTGCAGCGTTTTCAGCCGCATTTATAGGAGGAATGAAAGCGGAATTCACTTATTATTTACAGTTAATCTAATATGAATATCCTTAGAAAAACATTAGCTAAATCGAAGTACTTACTCTCAAAATTCAAGATTTTTAAAAATTATCGAATGTCAAGATACCGAAGTCGTGAAATCGTGACGCTGAAAATCGCTAGTAGAAAATTGAAGATTAAGAAATTGTTCACGAAATCTTGCTCGAATTCAAATCATGAACCATCTGAAAACCATAATGGTAAATCTACAACTTACAGAAAATCTTACGTCAATGTGATGCAAATTCTCAATTTCTGAAAAATTTCCAATGGTTTAAACACAATCAATCATTGGATATATCAATTCAAGGTTTCATCTTGGACTGCTGACTTTGAGTTTACCTTTCCCTCCATTTTCCAGCTTAAATCGTGAAAATTCTTTATGGCGAGTTTTTTTTTCGAATGACAGTTATTTGATTAAGAGAAGCCATGAAAAGTGGATTTTAAAACTTTTACTCGTATTTCCCATGCTTTTTCCCAAGCGGAGTTATGAAATACGTTTTCATATGTCTCCTTCAAATTTCTTTGCTAAGTTGTTTTGGATCCTTGCCAAATCCTCCCCACAGTGCTTGCGCTCTTAATTGCATCCTGCGGATATGGCGGCAGGGCCTTTGGTTCCTCCTGCTACGCCGCCCAAATCGTTTTGTCCATTCCAGGCTCTGAAGAAGGCAATCTGCCGAAACGTCAGCCAGCCAATAAATCATTGATACCAATCTCGAGTGCGGCTTATATGAACAAAAACATCAATATACTTTGTTCTCCCATCAAAAAACATTCCTTAGCAGGCAATAAAGTTATGGAATATAGATAGCAAGATTAACGCTCTTGATTGTGCAGAAATTAACCAAAGTATCGCATTATGGAGTCCCCCTCAAGATTTATTAGAAGACTATGCCAACTCAGTAATCTAGCACTATAATATCTTCGTTTAGCTGTTCTTCTATTAAAAATGGTGCAAAGGAATTCATATCTTCGAGATATTATTATTCTCTGTCTATTTTATCCGCTAATTCACAATGGCGGCTTTTATGAGAATTATCATCACGGAACGAATTCTCTATGTAGGCCTTTCTTAACCATAAATGATCTAGCAGCCGCTCAATCATGACCTAATTGAACTGAAGTTATTTATTAGAACCAAAGTTGTAAGATTGTGGGCGCTTAATAATCGAACAAAACTATAAGCAACATTGTGCCCCAGTGGCGTACCCAGGATTTCGGCTCGGGGGGGGGGGCGCGGCAAAAAAAATTTTCAAATGAAGGTGCGTGGCGTTAGCCACGCACTCCGAAATAATTTTAGGGGGGCTTCTCAACAATTTTGCGGGCCCCAAACTCATAAAATCTGGAAAAAGGAAGCGTGGCGTCAGCCACGCCCCGGAAAAAAATTTTTTTATAAGGCTAATTTGAATTTTTAAAAAGTTTTAAAAATTATTTTAATTGTTTACAAAAATAAACAAGTCATTTGCACATTTTTATAGCGCATGTAAGTAATTTTCAAAAATTTCGCGACCCGTTCTCGGGGGGGGGGGGGGCGCGCCCGCTAAAGTGCGCATGCCGCATCATTATAATCACAATGGTTCCGCAACGACTCCACATCTATGGCAGCGGGTTCCGCGTCTATTTGATCAGGTCCAACGAAGAGCTTTCGGAAATGCTTGTTTTTGCCAGTTTTTCGCAATCCCCAGCATTTTAGAGTCAGCTTGACTTACCCTAGGGGAGCGAAAAATGCGAAGACGAAGTTGCCGACTCATCAATTATAAATTCTTCCCATTACGTTAAGCACTTACGCAGTGTACACTTTCCAGACCATTTGAGTCGAGACTATGCAGTGAAGATTACGACAGCTAATGGTAGTAGCATCATAAGCTCCCCGCTGCAACCTTTTGTTTTATTCGGACCATTATTCCTAGTAAGCGTCGCGCTTATCCATAAAATTTGTTATCTGGTGACTTTAGGTTGCTCCAAAATTCAATATTGCTACCTGCGTCATTGCAAAAACTATGAGTGGTTTTCGTTCTGCGCTCTTCTGCTATCTAAATTTTCCGAAGGCCTTCGCGCTAGATAATAAAACAATGAGCGATGCCGGATGGCTTGCACCGTAAGTTTATGTGTAGTTGTTAGAAGTTGTTGTTTGTTAATAATTCAACCCTTTCTATGAGACTGAAAGATGACGATACAATATTTTAGAGGGCAAATGTAGCGAATGTTTTAGATCGTGCTTGGGTAACAATTTCACAATAAGTTCTTGGCAAGAGGTTCTCAGGCAGAGCAAACAAGTTCCTCTCGTTTTTCTTGTAACTCGTAACCCTTTTGATCGATTTGTCAGCTTGTATATGGACAAATGTGTTGCGTAAGTGTTTGAGTTTATTCAGCACTCAATCTAAGTGTGACAAAGAAACAACATGTGGCGATGCGGAACTCGTGGGCGCCATCTATTCCTACCGGGCTGGCTGCGCGGGCGGTTCGCGCGCGGCACCCGAACAGTTTGGGGCGAGCATTCTTTTCGTAAATGCGACGTTAGGTTGGATTACTCGACCCAGATGCTGAGAAGAACTTCCGCGTTCATTACGAATCAAAAGGTAGCCAAAAGGCAGGAATTGCTTATAAAGGCATTCGTTGCTTGTTTGCTCTAACGTTTACCCAAGATTATCCCTAGTCCATTTCTTACGGGCTCCCTTACTTCGTTGCTTACAGGTCATTGACTTCTTTTTAGATTATTAACGTTGAACAATGCTTGTGCTATTGTATCTTGCTGTTAGGACTCCTATGCAAATAACGGTGCTTCCAGCGTAATGTAGATAGCTGAGCTCATTTTCGGTAATAGAATCAGACCATTACGAATGCATACCAAGTTCGCATATCATAAGTAGATAATAAGGGTTGAAGTTTGGATGGCCGGCATTTTGCAAAGTTTCTTGTAAAGGGCCTCATGATCAGCATCGGGTTCTTTGCTGATATTCTCGAGTAAGCATTTCTCGATATCGGAGGCTCGCATGTTCTTTGAAATTTGAAAACGTGCGCAAAGTTTTGAAAACTACCAGGATGTAGTCGGTCACAGTCCTTTCCAAATTTATCACTTCTTGATGCACTTCACGGTTACATAAGTATCACCCACAAAGTTGAAGGTTCTCTTGTAGATGTTTGTTTAAAGTGATCTCGGGTTCTTTACGACCGATTTGGTGAATGACACGATCTATGAGTCTATACGGGTGTAGATGTACAGAGAATAGTAGGTGCAAAGTACTCCACGCAAACGTGTAAGTGAATGTAGTGGAGAACATTCGTTGTCGTGCCACTTCATCTAGAGTATCGGCTACTACTTGCAATTTCTCTAGCAGTTCTCTTTCAGGCAGATCTTTAGCCATTAGCATTAGGTTTTCTCTGTCATTAGCTCCGAACATCACTATATATCTATGTGCCCAAAGGAACGGCGATGCACTTAGCAAGCGGAAAATTCAAACCAAAGGGTTGATGTCAAAATGTTAGAGACACAATAGTTTGTCTATCTCTTGACTTCCTTACACGAAGCATCCGGCATGATGGGCTTACGCTAGTTCGAGATTCTTGAACCTAATCTTACCGAACATAAGCCCTGATGCATAGCCCTCCATGTATAAATAACTGGAACAGATCAGACGCTATATGAGGAAAAAAAATGTCGAAATTGTTAGCCAGCATATTCAAAACTGTGGCCATTTTGTATACAGGAAAGTAATGAGTTCAAAAAAAGAGTACGTGCGCTCAAGAATTGTAAGCTATCCCCTCGTCTGGTCAAAGAGATAACAAACAGCACAGCGACTACTGAAGTAGAATTCGATGCCCTCGCCATCATCGTATTGTATTATGCACAGCAGCGTGCAAGGCAATGTCATATTCATAGATGGCATTGCTCTCCCCAACGCTGCTCATGGCTACCGCGCGCAAACCGCTCGCGCAACCAGCCCGGTAAGAATAGATGGCGCCGAACTCGTGGAAGTCAAGAGCCAGTGTTTGAGTAAGTTTGGCCATATTACTTCACGTAGATGAGAACTAAGGATCATGGAAAGACTTATCAAAGCACTGCAAATGAAGCAACGAGATAAATCATTCACCATCAAAAGTTTTTTTTAGATTTAAACTAACCCAGGTAGTGCTTTATTACTTCAGCAGTATCTCATCTCACTTAGCGCTTCAACCAAAGAATATTTCATTTGTAAGATCTGAAGGAATTTGGGGATCTGGCAATGAATGCAGCCTGTAGTAGAAACCCCCACCATCTTACTAATAAAACTATTTGTCCAGATTTGCCTAAGCACTGCTTGTAAGGCAGCGTCCGGGTTAGCGGGAGCTCATAGGTTCATGCGGATGTCAACAAACTTCTCTGCTCCAACAAAAGCAAAGCGAGATATTGTACTTTGAGACACAAAATCGTCTTCGTCCCAAATGCCTTGAGCCCCCCGAATAAACAATGAACAACAACGAGCAACAACTTCAACATTAGTGTATTCGCAACAAGCAAGCAAATGCTTTTGTCTTCGCTATATCCTCAATACCATGTCTCCTGGTTTTCCTGTCAATCGCTTCTGGTCTTTGTTGGGGAGTGGGTAGACGCCTTTTTTAGCGTTTTAAGCGCTGTGAAGTCAGAACGTTGTAGTGTGACGGTAAGTCCTAATGTAGAAAAATCTTGGAGGCCTGTTTGCCCGGACGCTGCTTTGAAGGTGACACGAAGAAGATAAATGCAGTACAACGGATATTCGATAGCTCTTATAAACGTTAAAGTACTTTCATTATGTTTTACTTTCTAGCAATGGACGATGCGGCTGTGAAAAAAATTTGTACTGCTTTCTGAAAAAGATCTATGGTTTATTGCTTTCGCTTCAACCGGATTACAACATGTTTCTTCCACCTTCTAAACGCTTTATGAGCAAATCGCCTTTCGAACGTTATCTTATCAAACATTTCGCTCCCATGTCGTGGTGAGTAACGATTCTCCTTTTTTTATCATTCGCTCCTGCAAACTTTTTTTGGGTTTGAGTTCACCCAAAAGACGCGCGGGGAATTTACGGCCGTTTGGTAATATGCCCTTTTGACAATAGGGCTGCCCACAGCTTGTATCGGAAGACAGAGCGACTTTTACCTTATGCGCGGTGGTAAAATTTAGGCAGCTCTATTAAAGGGCAAAAGGCGACCAGACGGTTGTGAATTTCCGCGCATCGTTCGGTAAATTCAAACCAAAAGAACGCCAAAGTGAGGCTACTACAAGGCGAAGCGCTAAGCCGCTGGGCTGTTTCTGCCGCAAGTAGTGATCATAGTTTGCAGCTACTCAAAGCCAAAACACTTTTTATGGCTCTTACATCATACTCATAGAATGTTCCATCTGCGCAATGCATTCTACCACTATTTTGTGAAAGAAGCTACCAAGAAGAAATATTGATATATCGACCAGATGACCTACTAATCAGAAGTCATGCTTTAAAATATGGCTAAGGGCGTAGTGCCGAACACAGTCTCCAACCTCATTGGCTAGCAGCGGGAGTCTTTTTGTGTTTCCACGTTTCTTTGGTTAGTTCTAATAAGCATCGTTGCATGTCATCTTGTTCTTCACTTTCCTGTGGAAAAGAACGAAAGCATTCTTGAAGTACTTTGGCCGTAGCACAAAATCCAATCTTCCACTAGCGCCAAATACGGAGAAGAGCGACAAATAATACACAATTGATGGTTTGGAGGATAGTCCAAAACAGGCCTTGTACACAACGTATTGCCTTGCCTTATCAAACGTCGAAGAAGGCTCAGGGGTACTTCTGGAAGTCGACTGAAGGCAAACGAATTTCAAGAAGAGTTTTGGAGGACAGCGATCAAATCTATGGATTGAAATTTCGAAACCTTTAGACACGAGGAGTACGTGTCAGACCATGAAGCTTCTAGTCTTGAGAGGACTGCTGCATGAATGGCGAAGTCTTGGTATGTCGGTGATAAGCCGCACTACGAAGAGAAGTGAGACATCATGGAGGAAAACGGTGCTGTTCGCACATCTATAAAGTGGGTAAAAACATCGTGATCCTAGACTCTTTGCTCAGCGGGCGCGTACGAAAGGTAGGGGCAACTGCAAAGTCCGTGAAAAACTTTGAACGAAGCAGTAAATACGAGAAGATTTCAGGTATTGTGGTACTCAACAATTTCTCAATTCCATGCATACAATTCATCTAGACATGTCGAATAAAGAGAGGATGGCAGAGAAATATGATGAGATTTTAACCCTCGCCAACGTTACAAAGCAGCAGAGGTTATACATACGAACTGAGTTGCTGAGTACGTGCAATTTGATTTTGTGCTTGCTACCCGAGTGAATAAAGCAAGCACCACAAGATGGCTTCCAAACACTCGCCGAAGTTTGATTCCATGCAGAACTTGATGCCATGTCTGTCGAAGAAATTCTGCGGGTATTCAAGGTGTTCCTCACATATACTCTCTACATACAAAGGTCGTAATTTCTCTAGCGGCGAAAACAGTGCGGTTTCTTTTGGACAATCATTCTACACTGCCTTATGTATTATTGGGAGTGATGGGGCACGCGCCCGCCTCGCCTGCATTCGCATCTCTTTTGCGGGCATGCTCTTGATCATTTTTCCTCTACGAGTCTTAGGGCCGCATACGCTAACATCCCCGCGGGGAGGGGATCGCAGCTCAAAAGAAAGCTTTATATTTCTAAACTCAAGATACCTGGATCTCATGTCGTGTACCTATCCGTATTCCTACTACCCTTCACTATGAACATGTTGAAGAGGAGCGAGAAGCTGTACGAAGCGCAATTTCCTTTTGTATGATCCCTGATGATCCCCGGCACTTTTCTTTGAAGTCATTTTCCTTTTTCCGAAGTTAACGAAAACCTTCCAAAGTTGTACTGAACATCTAACACAACAGTGCTAAGCATGTTGCTGATGAGAACAAATGAGTTTTTGAAAAGTCGTATTTTTCGGTAAACCTCAAGTTTTGACCTATGGATCATTGAAAATTTCATGACTTCAAAACATCATTTGTTCTTCTCAGCAACATGCTTAGCACTGTCGGGTTAGATAATCTGCACAACATTGGAGGTTATTCGTTAACTTCGGAGAAGGAAAAATGACTTTAAAGAAAAGCGCCGAGGATCATCAGGGATCATACAAAAGCTGGAAAATGCGGTTCGTACAGCTTCTCGCTCCTCTTCAACATGTTCATAATGAAGGGTAGTAGGAATACTTACGGATAGGTACACAACGTGAAATCCAGGTATCTGGAGTTTCGAAATATAAAGCTTTCTTTCAAGCTGCGATCCCCTTCCCGCGTGGATGTTAGTGCATGCGGCCCTTAGCTTCAATCGCTGGTTGGGAACATATTAGAGAGAGTACTCGCGAAGGAGCGCAGAGCGTAGCCAAGACGGTCGTGCAGAATTCGAGCCGCACGAGTTCCTACACACTCCTTATGATAGAGAGGGCATGAACTGCAGCAATGCAAACATTTCTATCCGTTTATAGCGTTTCCACATACGACTATTGTAAAGAGTGCATGGACATTCAGCAAATGGACACTGCGTTAATGTGTGGAGGCTATCTTGTCAAGCTTGGTCCTAATCCTATATCAAGTGGGCTCCAATTTGGACAATCAACAAGGAAAGTGTTTTTAGTAGGAGTGGCTTTTTCAGAACGTTTCGTTTCCGTAGAGCTTCGAACGCTGGTCACAAATCTGCTTTCATTACTGCCGTGCGCCTCTAGACCTCCGGATGCCAAATTGTGAAAGTTCGAGTTGATTAGTGAACGCGCGAATATAGAAAATGGTCTAGAATTTCTCAGATGGTCCACTGAAATAGAAGGATACTTTGAGCAATGAATACCTTTCGTTTAACATGTTCAGATTTGACATTGCTCTGTAAGCGATGGAACGACTGTAACGATCGGTTTACTTGAATTCTACGCGCTCTTTTATCTCCAAGAACACTTACAAGTCGGCGCTTTGAAACATTTTGTAAGAAGAAATCCTGTTTGGAAAGCCACTCGACCAAAAACACTTTCCTTCCGAGACGAACAACATTTTGTCAATTTGAAAAAAAAAAATGCGAGGCACTTTAGTGCCTCGCAGTGTCTTTAGCCTACAGTGTCAAGCTTCTGAGCAGCTCAATAGTCCTTAACCTACCGTGCCAAACTCAGTAAACTCTAATATTTGCGCTTTTCTGGTTTTTCTCTCAGGAGAACTTCCCTCATACGCCACGTGGAATCAGAAAGGGCGGACTGATGTCGAAAACGAACTCTTATCTAACGCGACATTATTGGAATTATTTTTGCAATTATATCTTCACGACTTCATGATTTTCAAATATGACTTCCCCACACCACATTCCACAAGTATTTCTCTTTGCATGAAGTGAAATAAATTGGATCTGCGTTAACAGTCAAAAATGCTCCAAATTTTTTAAATTTGAGCGGGAGATATAAGACTTCTATCAGAAGTCCAAATTTTCTCTAAGAGATCGACTCAAAAAGAGACGAAACATGCAAGAAAAATAATTGTCACTAACGAGTTAAATACATTTTGGACCGCGAAATCGTGCGCGGTGGAAGAGCATGCGCTTTTGCTCGTCAGTCAAAGTGAAATATGTAATATATCTACGATCAGTATGTCCTATAAGAATGTACCGAAAGCTGCGAATGAATGTGTTTGAGTTTTGTCACCTGAGGAGAACTGCTGTTTTTCTTGCTGCGTTAACTCCCCGCCGCGAAGGGCTCGCAGCCCAGAAGAAAGCTTCATTTTTTCATGCTTTAGATATCTGAATTTCATAAGTGTCCATCCATAAGTGTTCGTACTACCCTTTACTATAAACATAACGAAAAGGAGTGCATTATTGTGTAAGCCGCGTATTTCAGCTTTTATATAATTCCCATGTGATACCCAGCGGCAGAATTTTTCTTCAAATTTATTTTTCATTCTTTTATGTCAACAAAGACACCCTAAATTTGTTTAATTCATCTAGCCCAGCGGTGCTAAGCATGTTTCTATACAAACAAATCCATTATTAAAAAATGAGATTTCCGATGAAAACCAAGTTTCCGCATGTGGTTCATCAAACTTCTCATCAATCCGCTACTTCAGTTGACTTTTTTATAGAAACGAGTTTAGCATGTTGGTTTAGATAATTCGTACAACTGTGGGATATTTTCACTGACTGGAAAAAATTACTTTAAACGAAAGACGGTTGTGGGCCAGGGAAATATAAGAAAAGCTGGAAAACGGCAGCATACAGTCATACAGCCATGCCTTAAAAACATTTCCTCAAAATCGAGCAGTGGGCAAATCCACCTATGTCGCACACGGTAACATCAGTTTTATAAACACCGTTTACTTGGTGGCGTGGCTTTGAACCAAAGTTACGCCTTATTCCCCTTAAGTATTAGAGGACATTCGCGTTGCTTTCAACTGCAGCCTTACAAGAGGTAACGCTGCCTAGGGGGTTGAGCCGTCCCCGCTTGCTGCGACACGATCCCGTTGTATATGGAGTCCACAATTGAAAGTAAATGGAAGTGAAAGTAGGGTAGGGAAGAAACAGGCAAGGTATGCAACGTAGTTTAAAAGTATAAAAAGTATACCATGAAGGATTGAAAAGTGGGAGATAGAAGGATTTTAGGAAAAAACACATCTTTCTTCTCCTGTACACTTGAGTATCGTAGTTTAACAAATAAAATAAAAATTATGAGGAAGACTTGTGGTGGAGTTACGAACAGGCAAAGTTAGAGAATGGGGAAGTTGACGAGGTTTTAATGATATAGTTTCTGTTTGTTTTTCTTTTATTTCTCGTATTACTCAACTTAAACATGTTTTTGCTCACATAATCTCTTCAATTCAACTCCAGTGTACATTTATTCCTTCTATTTTTTGATCTCTTTGGAATTTCACTGTGTTGATCATCTTTTCAAAGCGTAGCGAAAGAAGCTCATTAGCTCATTACTGCAAGTAACAGCGCTAGCTTCACTGCGGCTGCAATTACCGGCAACGCAAAGGCCTTTAGCATATACCGTGAAGGAACGCGGGGTTGTTTGGCTCCATGACCTGCCCTTCGTTTTTCTTTTGGAAGTGAAGCACATGAAAGTTGCGACGTCGTACGCGTCGTTGGCGTTGCCGCACTGATTGAAACCGTTATTCGATTCGTCATTGTGCCTCCCAAATGGATAACTGCGGATTCTGTGAGGTAGAGTGGGTTAATGAGTGTGTCTCATTTTTTCAAATCTATTTTTTCATTTTAGTACTAGGTTAGCCCGAAAGTTCCCGAAAGCTCGTACACCATTTTCAAAAATTTATAGCTTCTGCTTTTCTAATCCAATTTGACTGTTTTCATTTTTATCTAAAAAAAACAAATCATGCTTTTCATAGTGTTGTTTTAGTGGCTTCCTATCGAGCATACACTGTACGTATAGTAGCGGTAGAAGAAAACTCAAACTTTGAGTTTTCTGTGCAGGATTATAAAAAATTTGAAACTTGCGATAATTCGGAGCAGTCGGTATTATGGGTTCTATTACCAGCTTGTTCCAACTGTGCAAAGTTTGCTAATTGAGTGTTCCTGTAAAATATTGCAATTATCGAAAAAATGTCAATATTAATTAAATTTGTTTTTTTTGCATTGCTTGCTCGTACTTTACATAGAGTTGCTCAATCAGCACAAGATTTCCACTGTTAAGAGGAGCTGGTAAAACCTATAATATGGACTGCTGCGATTTTTGCCGCATGTTTCAAGTTTCTTATGGCTCTACACAAAAAATTCAAAATCTGAGTAATTTACCGTCTATCTATGCGGCATATGCTCATTAGGAAGCCTCTATAAAGAACATAATTTGCTTTTTTAGATAGAATTGGAAACTGACAAATTGGCTGAGAAAACCAGACGTTGATTTGAAAAGTGTGCGAACGAACTTTCGCGCCAACCTATTATTTTGTGAGTTTTCATTGTGCTTGCATTTTTGAAAGTTGTGCTGTTCTATTAGCTTCATTGCCTTCTTCTTCCAACAATCGTGGTATTGATAGCTTTACTAGAAAGATTAACTATTCTTTCTCTTGAGTGTCAATTTCATGTTCATTATTCATTATTGTATCTTACGGCACAGACCTCCTCATGCAATAAATACAAGAATGGTCGAAACAAGCACAAATTAGTACAAGTGAAACGGTACGAGCTCTGAACAAATGCAAAAAATTTTATAAGTCTGCAGAAGGCATCTTTAATGAGTTGCAAAAAAGCTCGAACGGCCACATCCGAAACGATCAAGATAATTAAAAAAGCAGATAAATCAGCTTTAGAAGTAAATTATCTTGGCGGAGCTTGTGCTGTGCGGGAACAGCGTTGCAGCAGTATGCAATTTTTTGCATAGCGTCTGCTCATTAATGACCAGAACTTCCAAATATGATTATCTGCTTGAATCTTGTTATCTTATTCAACCCTCTGCTGGCACTTTTGAAAGAATCTGTGTTATATTGCGATAATGGTTTACCAGTGAGCGCAAAACAGAGAGACCATTGCAGAAACATTCAATACCTCGGATAAACATATCGTGAGTACTTCATAAGTTCTCCTTTCTTTAAACCTTGGCATGTTGATAGTATATTGTTTAACTTTTTCTGTGCCACAACAGGTTTTTATCGGAACTCTTTATTGAGCCTTACGTTTCGGCGGAAAAACGCCGTCCTCAGAGGCCTGAAAGCGATTCAATCACTTCCATCAAACGCTTTATGCGACCAAACGCCTTAACCAACTCGTACGTTTAATTCGTCTAAAGTGATCGGAGTCTAGCGTCCACGCCGAATTGACTTACCAAGAGTTCCACAGAAGAGCACGACAAAAGCTCTTTCGGTCGCCTACAGGATATGGTGACAATGAACAGCCCAGCTGAGTTGGACATGTTTATGTAGCTGTAGGTTATCTAGAAACCGCAAAATGATAGGAACGGCTTAAGATCATTTGTGATCGACAACTGTTCATTCTTGCTATTCATTTTCGGATTTCGAGCAAGAATGTATGCGGCTTCCAACGCTTTCCGAGCTGAGATGTTATCCTCGACTGCCAGTATGTTACAACTTATTTCAAAATCTTCGCCTTCATGGTCCTCCTTTCTATGCTTCCCCAGTGGGCTCACGAGGCTCTGTCTTCGTTTGCTGGCCAGATGTTCATTTACACGCACTGAAGGCGAAGACGAGGACGGCGTTTTTCCGCCGAAACGTAAGGCTCAATAAAGAGTTCCGATAAAAACCTGTTGTGGCACAGAAAAAGTTAAACATATCGTGAGTACTTGTGTATGCAACTGATGGGGACATTTGATCCAGATCGCACTAGCTGATGACCTTAGTCACTGTTGATCATTTATATCTTGGAACAAATCACTAGTAGATCTAGCTCAAGCATTCGGTCCATGTGTACCCGAAACCAAATGATTTCGAACACCTTTGGAAAATGGAGAAGTATAGATAAAAGCTAAATTGAAGACAGTTTCACATACTTCAGGTAAATTTCTGAGTAAGAAGTTTGGCTATTCATAATAGCAATTTGTATGAATCATTGAGTATTGAATGAATATTTGGATGTTTCCAGCTTATTTTTCTTCGGACAAGTTAAGATGTACTCACAATGGCAAAAAGTAATGAAATTGAGAAAACTTGCAGAAAGGCGCAAATAAGCAGGTCACGAGTGTCAAATTCTAGCCAACTGTCGGCGCTTTGGTGATGCTAACCAAGAATAATTGGGAAGACAACATTCAAGAAAAGATATACTGTCTCTAACCCTGAACGACTGGCAGGAACAGGACTTTTGTCAATGAAGATTACTCAGAAAATATGTCTGCACGTCCCATTATTGATCAGCTAAAGAAATCATAAGTTGTTCCAATTGATGTATAATTGATCAAACTCTTCGCTGTAGCGACTTGGTTTGCCTGGGTATTGCAGGTCATGCATTTTTGTGTATATAAGTTTAAAGGCATCAAACTCGCCTGCCTAATTTGAGATGCAACGAACTGAAGAAAGCTGCATCTAAAGTGTTTATCATTAAAATCGCTCATATTCCCGTTACCTTTTGACCATATACTATTTACAAAGAAAGAGCGTTTGTTTGCAACAGAAGTATGTACAGGAAGACCGCGCTGCTCTCTTTTGCGCCCCAAAATGTAGAAAGTGGAGCAATGGACGAGGATAGTACCTGTGAGAGGTTTGACCGAAAGTGAATATTCGCTACTAACCACACAATTTGATTACATCCTCGACGTAACATTTACATCTATTTAATAGCTCTTCTCTCCTCTCTAGTGATGTTGTTCCATCCCTTCTTAGAACATCGGGAGAATTCAACCAGTAACAGATGGCGAAGATAGTCATCATACAACCAAATGGGGCAACATGGACAAGTTCTTCCTGAAACAAAACAGGACATTGATACGATATTGTATATATTCGGCTACTAAGATAATATTCGATATTTATTATAATATTATCTTCTATGTTGGTATATGATTAATTTTGCACATTGCGTCCCTATAGTTCTACAACACTACTGTAAATCTACGTCCCAGATCCAGTACTACTGTGTAACTGAAAGCGATTGAGGAATGCAACTATTTTGAGCGTATATATAAATACATGTTGAGTTTTGATATGTTGAGTTACTATGAATACAAATTTGTCTAGAAGTTTTGATTACGTAGTACGTAGCAAGTCAAAATTTGAGAATGAGTGTTTAGCAGATGACAGACTTGTCATGTCTTTCAAATTTTGCTTGCAACGCAATCAATTAGCAATTATTAACGGTAAGTATACTAGCTTATTCCGTGCTACTCTTCGATTTTTTGTTTCACCTCTAAAGAGATAGTTAGAGTCGTTGAAAAGTTCGTTTCTCGCTCTTTTCGATGCGTAAAACTTTAGAAACGCTCAATTTTACGATATTGCAGACTTAACATTGCAGGTGGTCGAAATAAGGTTTCACTCAAACTACGTGTTCTTGTTAGAGAATCTCCACAATCAAACTCTAACTCGGGCTTTTGTACTTGTCGTGGATTGAGGTGTGATGGACTGGAGCATAGACAGAAACTCACTTTCGTGTAAAAGTCATCTTGCTTGCAACAGCTGCCGCAAAACAATGCTTCATTTTTGTGTTCTACAAGTAAGTGTAAATGAGGACAATTTGTGAGTCGAACATCTTAGATGACAGAGAAGAGTAAGAGCTAGTAGGACTTAAGCACCAATTACTCTTGATCGTTCCCGACAGTTGTAAAGAATTTTACGATTCGAAAACGAGCATGTTTGGGTGCAATATAACGAGGTCAAAAGCCTCTTTTTTCATTTGGTAAAAAATCTCTCAAAATTGAAGATTGTGGAATTTTTAGCTGCAAGATAATCTTCAAAATTTTCTCTATCTAAAATTGGCTACTTAGGATGCCTGGTTATTTTTGTAAAGGAACATTTCCATGTCAAAAAGGGCAGGCTCGCAAAAAATTGTACACTATTAGACAAGCTCTAAAAGCACAGTGAATAGTTCAGTTCTTGCTTAATACTTATGGTGTTTTTTGCAAGCCTTAACATCTCTCCAGTAGCCAAGAGTTGCTCAATACAATGAAACTGAAATTAGCAAAAGTCGGTTCTGAGAAGAGTTACAATATTTTGAATTTGGAAATTCAAATGGGACGAAGCTTAGGGACCGGCCGACACCACGCGATTTCATCGCCTCGCAAACAAGATAACTGTTACAAGTCCATCTTCAAGTAAATTGTAGGTCTCCTTTTTGTAAAAACTTGGCATAATTTGTAGATATTGCTCAATTTTTGAGCAGCGCTCGGGCAGTAAATAAAGTGTTTCTCTAAAAACGGCTCAAACAAAATTGAACATTGTTACGAGTCTATTGCCTGCCGATCATCTTGCACTTCGGTTATGATAGTTTTCCGACTCGACTAGCTCAGACATTTGTGATTGAGTTCCGCACGAAATCCGCGCAGAGGACGAGAGATCGCGAGAAAATCGGTAGTCTTGCGCGACACCCGAATTCGTACTGTCCTTATGGAATTATATCGACAATAAAAATAAGCTGGGGAAAACCGGGGACGCTATTTTTTCTAAATTAGCTTTCACTTCTTCAGTTAATCTGTAATTTATTCAACAACAAATATTCATTTTTGAGAATACACCTTATTTGCGTATACCTGACGTATACAGTAAGTCTCGAACGTCGGTGTATAGAATGAATGCAAGCAAGCATATCGACGCTGCTGCACGTCAATCCAGCGACTTAGACCATTGTAGGAAGATGGAGGGATGAAGCGAAACAATAAGACGAAGAACACGAAAGCGTTAAGTCACTGGATCTATGGATTTGAGCCCAAATGTTAATCCTAGTTACCGTAGGCCCCACGATTCGTATAGAGGCGAGGTTGTGGCAGCGCAAATCATGCCGTTTTATATAAGTACGAGTATGTAAGTAGCGAGAGAGTACGAAGAACAATGCTATAACTTAGTTTAGGTCAATTTTGGTTTAGTGATAAACGCAAGTTTCATCATAAAAGTTGATAAGTTAGTGATTCCAAACTCCGTATCGTGTAAGCACATTTATAAAATGTGTAAAACGCAAACTTTTGGGTGTTCCAAGCTAAACAAGTTTTGAGGAAAAATCCAATCAGCAGTCGATTTCATTGCGATATCGCGTCGCGTCTTCCGCAGGATCGCAGCTAAGAGCGGAAGACCCGCCGGTGATTGGATCACGAGTTAGGTTCCCCCGCAGGAGCTCCCGACTTTCTCACTAACATCTCGGGACAACTTCATATGTCACGCAGCACTTCCTAGAGGTAACATTGTTTTCTCGCAAACCATTTCTCTTGCGTCCAACAGTCAATGATTTAAAACACGCGGTTTTTGCTGGCAGGATTTAATCGCGAATGTCTGAGAATAGTGAATAAATATCACAACCGAGATGCAAGATGATCAGCATACAATGGACACACAGTAGTTGTCGCGTCGGAAGGAGCGCGAGTCGATGAAATCGCGTGATGTATGTATGCCCCGGCCCTTTGCGCAACAGCCTGATATACAGGAGAACGCCCAGACTAAGTTAGAATTCATAGAAGTGCTGCGTTTTACGCTAATATCTGCCAAACGGTTCTCAAAAAATGCAATAAAATCATGTCACGCGATCCAGCAGTATAGAGCGGCGAACATTTACATAGCTTCAAAGGGTTTGGGATTTTGTAGAAACGCACTCAAATAGTTGTGCACTCTACTGAGCTTGTCCTTTGCTTTGTTTTAGCAGCCTAGGGTTTATGTATTTATGTACATAGAGTATTGAAAAATAAGCAGATGGCTTATAAAGAATGTTTTACCACTATCCAAACCAGTGTATAGAAGGTATTATCACTCTTAGCAGGCCTATCCATAACAAAACATGCTCGTATTCTTCTTTCTTCTTCCCACGGTAAGTTTTGAATATTATGACCTGCTTTACCAAGCTCCGTTTAACTCTAGGTAACGTCAAATTCGGTGGTTACGCCTCACCCATTCGCGATGGCAATGATTGAAGACATTTTGAAATGCAAGCTCTCTGATTACGAATCAATTATAAATGTAGAAATCTTGGCTAATTCCAACATGGTGAGTTTTTTGAATGAATCCGTTTTTAACGGGCATCCCCAGGAAACGTATCGAAAATTTATCGTTCATAACCCTCTTGTATTGGTGTCTCTGAAACCTCGAAGTACCTGAGCAAAGTGTTATAAATGAATATAAATTTGCCTTGTAAAAGGAGTTACATCCCTCTTCAATACTCTGATTAGAGACAGGTCTTGTAGCACGCTTTGGTTATGTACTTGCCATTGAATAAAACCTGCATTATAAACGAAAATACTGTAAAGGGATTTCACACAATTCGAAAAAATTTCATGTTTTGTTGATATCAAGAGGTAATTCGCAAGTGATTCAAGAGCAACTTCATGAGAGGAGTTACATCCGCAAGCTTTGTGATCCAATTTAGAAATCTCGATTTGTATGGAGAGTTCTCGACATTTTGGAGCCTTTCTTAGGCAACATCGACTTCTCAGCAGGAATGCTTAAAAACTAAAGTAACCCTATCTATGGTAATAAGGAGCTATTGAAGAGGGCATATTATAGATTTAGCAAGGGAAGAATTCCAAGTTATGAGCGAATTTAAACTGAAATTAGCAGGGTTTCAATGCATAGTGCTCTAAAAACTAGCTTGAAAGAACATAATTAGAATGGTGTTTAGTGTACTGACTGAAAAGGGTGCACACAGACAGATGAGTTTGCGAACAACCACTTTTTGAAAATGTGGCACCGAATGTCTGCCAACATCAGTCCGCGCAGCAGATATGGGAGATAGATTTGCAACCAGCTCAAGGCACATCTAATGATATGCCTTCTATTCCAGATTGCCACGGCGATCTAGATCTTTCCCTGCTAAGCTGAACATATTTCTAGATGTTGAAAGTAAGAGAGTTGTATATCTTTGCGAAAATTAAGTTGATATCTGTATTTTGCATTTTAAAAAGATGAGAATACTTTTTGTTTAGACAAACGTGCTGTTCTCTATAAGTTTCAGACATTCTGCTGCGACTGCGTAGAGCTCGCAAGAGAGCGCGACTACAAAGGCAAGCTAAATAATTACTACGAAGCATATGTGTTAAGGTTTGTTGCTGTTCAATCTTTGATATCCCATAAGCTGTTCATCTGCTTTTACAGATGGCATAATTGGTATATAGATACGATAACACAAATGCTTTTTAAACAGGTACGAACAAGCCTTCGAAAATTCTGCTGTTATTTACTCAAAACTCTCCTACAAAATTCAAAGCCTAAAATTTGTCTTGATAACGTTAAGTGCTTTGACAGAAGGTGTTGTTACCTCAGGATTCTTTCATACTACAACGCTGCATCGCAGAGAATATATGCCCCTGCCACGGCAGTTTCGCGGTTTAGCGATGTTACTCTGCAGAATTCTAACAATAACTCTGAATACTAGAACTGCTATGGATGAAGCAACAAGTTGATCTGCGGATATCTAGTAATCCTGTGAGTAGTAATAGATAGAATAACGCATTGAAGTCATTGACTAAGAACTAGCTGAAGCAAAACAACTTTGGCAAATCAAGAACGCACCGAATTCAGCTGATGTAAAACCATTGATTCTACGATGAGACAAGGGAAAAAAGAAAGAAGACTAACAACTCTAAAGGAATGGTCTGTTTATAAGAGCGTGCACAGTACAGGAACGTTGAAAAACCGAGAAACTGCTGGCATTGGCATGTTTTCGCGTGTAGTCTGGGCACGCTGTCGCAGGCTACAACGCTTGCGGCATATGAGGAACCCCTAAACGGAAACATCACGGCCGTTGTAGGGATGTGTTTTCAATTGTGAACCTGTCGCAAAGTGTAACTTAGCATTTTTGTGCTCCGAGGGAAATTTATTCTGAACGCATTCCAGAGCAAAGTAGCTAAAATTTCAAAGCACAGATAGCTACTACAAAACAGAATTAGCATATTTCAGCTGAAGAATGCAAATCGTCGCAATCTTGAACGATTCGCAATCGGGTGCGCCATAAAAAAACAAAACTTCCTGCTTGAATGTCTTGCACCATTTATTAGATTTAAAGATGATGTTGTGTGTCTCATCAAAAAATATAATTACAAGCCTGAAGAGCGATGTTTACGAGAATAATCATTGACAGTATAAATCATTTGAATGTCGAGTTCTACGCTCACCGCAACATATACAACAAACGAGAGCGGTATCTCGTCAAGGTGATTATTTTGAAAGCACACACAGCTAGCTCAGTGTATCGTGCGCAACAACTTTTTGTCGTTCGAACTAACAAAGTGAATGAACGGTTGAAGTGGTTTTCGTACGGCACATTACTTGAATGAGAATCTGACCTTCGAAAGGTGTATGTCGCGCATTTTTCGCATAAACATAGCCGTAGTTTTCTGAAGGGGAAAGCAGGATTTTGTCCATTAGCATCTGAAGTAACTCATTACAATTTCCTTGCGCTAGACGATTCAGAGCATCAGATGTGAAAATGACCATTGCTTGCTCAAACACCTAAATCAATGCAAATTTTCTCCTTTTGATTGCCAGCTTCTGACTAAATGCCACTTTTCCCTTTCTTTCAACTTATGCTGCGCCCTCACTGTCACAGCATTCTTATCACAATACCCTTAATCAAACTGCCAAGTCCTTTTTCACAATGAGAACATACAATGCAGTAGAATATAAGACTACTGCAACTACTAACAAGGGAATGGTCAAAAGTCGAAGTGGCCAATCCACACAAGCTGCATACCATTAGATGCAGCATAAAACGCTGACTCCAAATCTGTCTTCCTTATCTGCAGAGCGCTTTTGTGGACGAAAATATATGCCGTTGAAGGCCATTATTTTGCTAAGAAATTGTGCGTGTAAAGTGCAAATTTGGCCGTACAAGGCCATTCTCGGCTCAGTGTGAGACCAGAACATGCAACTAGGTCACTTCATACGACCCGTGCCTAGAGATGAGCTGAAAGAGCAATAATGTGCCCAATTTCGCAATTTTTGGATGCGATTTTTTCGTAGTAAAGCTGCTCATAACTTCGCCTACAAAGGCGCTCTGCAGATATAAAAGACAGATTTGAAATCAGCATTCTATGCTGCATCGAATAGTATGCGGCTTGTATGGATTGGTCACTTCGACTTCTGACCATTCCCTTGTAAGGAGAAAGATAGGACTAGCGTTTCCATTGCGGTAAATAAAGCCTCGACCGCTTTGTCTTGACTGACAACTTGCACGCATAAGCAAAATTTCAATGTGTCCTATGCCGCCAGAAAGGAATAAAGAAAAGCCATTGAAGTTTCAAACTCTATCAAGAAATTATATGCATTGATTTAGAGGCAACGAATCTATAGAAGATAGAGCATTAATGCTTGGCATCGTACGGAATTTTGCACAAACATTGGGATGTAGAGAAGTCCTGTGAATGCAAACATAATATCGTCGTCTCCCCGTCGTACGTCGGGCGGAGCTTTTGCGGACATTTCAACAGGTGAACTTGTCAAGCCTCTACTGCAAAGTATGGTTCCTTGTACTCTCTAAATTCCACGTATATATGCCGTTGTCACACGTGGCAGACTTGGTAGCGAGAGATCACAAAATACAATGCCTTGCAGTAGAGGGTTAACAAATTTATCAACTTCTTGAAATATCCGCAAAAGCTCTGCCCAACGTACACCAGGGAGACGACAATAGCACAAAATCTGGCAAAGAAATTGACCGTAAAGCTACTAGGGAAGCATCTCAGGTTATGTGGCTATTTGGAACGAGATGCATGTCATTAGATGCGTCTTGTTAAGCGATTCCTAGCCTAATTCTCGTATCTGCTGCGCGGTCCCTAAAAGAAGTTGTGAGCGCTCAAACGACCGATATTGGCCGAAATTCGATCAGTTTCGGAAGTTCAAGAAGTAGCTGTTCAGAACACTTATCTTTGTTGCCGATGTATGCTACTCAGTACATTCAACACCGCGCTGATTACGCAACATAAACCTGGTTTTTTGAAGCACAATATGCATTAAAGGCAGTGTCCGGGCAAAAACTCGATTTAGAGATTTTATGCTTACCCGGGCCTATTCACTACGCTGAATCCGAAAATGCACATTGGACAGCGCGAAAACGACGAAAAGCGGCTCTAACACAGAATGGAGATCAACAGGTGGGCGGGGTTCTCCTGACTGGAATTCACGCTTCCAGCTTCCGGAGCGATCTTCTCGCTTCCGTTTTCAAGTCAGTCATTCGCACTTGGCCGGCAGTGATGTTAGGGCGGCTAGCGATATCGAGAAGATCGCTCCAGAAGCTGGGAGCGTATATTACAGTAGGGAGGACTCCGCCCACCTACTGATTTCCCTACTGTGTTAGAGCGTTTTTCGTCGTTTTCGCGCTCTCCAGTGTGCATTTTCGGATTCAGCGTAGCGAATAGGCCCGAATAACCACAAACCTCAAAATCGAGTTTTTGCCCCGACACTGCCTTTGAGAGCTTGTTAACTTCACAACTTTAATCGCTCACGACTTCTTTTCCATGCAACCGCACAGCTAGAATGGAAGGTAAATTTGAAGAAATCACTTCAACAAGACGATTTAATCGTATATGTTTCGCTCCGAATCTCCTTAGGATCTTTCCCTTGTTTGTTATTGCAGTTGTAGAACTTACATTTAGATACTCTCTGAAAGGCATATCTGCACCAAGTAAGGTTTCCATCTTATAGTAGTAAAAATCGAGAAGTGAATGTAGCAGTCTTCTTCGTTTTTCAGCTGTGGTACTCGTACTCAATACACGTAGCAGATCTTCAACCTCAAGCAGAACTCTGAAATTATGCCAATTCTGCTGAGGCTATGCCATGATTAATCTATGCCACCGTGAAAGGTGTGGAGAGGAAGACATTAGCTGCAATTTTTTCTTTCGCTACAAAGTTCTCTGCATGCGATGTCTACCACTGTTTTCCATTCGCGTTCCATTATACATTCGGGTAGCATACAGCCAGTGGTCCTCGCGGTTACTAGGCTTGTCGGTACTTACAGGGCTTCCCTGAGCCAATTGCCAATCCAACTATACCACCAATCGTCACATTATCCTGCCAAAGTATTTGTGGAACCCACAAATCGCCGTGAACGAGAACAGAATATCTTGCTAAACTACTCAGTCATTTTGTACATAAAGGCGAAAAAAAAACCCTTGCAAATAGTACCTTTTTCTTCGTATTCTTTGGTAAATTTTGACATGAATAAAGAATGAACAGTTGACTGAGTTGCTGAAGGTGAACTGCAGATGAAGTCTTCTACGTTTTGTATTTCTATATCGAGTGCTAGGTTGCTTGCACAGTTGTTACAAATATACTGTTTGATCGAATGTGAATTCAGGGTGACGCATTGAAATATGTATGGGGCAGACGTGACGCAGCTAACATTTCACCCATCTTTTAGAAGCTCACTGCCTGCGTGCAAAAAAGTCTAAGTTGCCTCAACGTGAGTTAATCTTATATATAAAGCTGAATGTCTGTTTGTATGTATGTATGTATGTCTGTCTGTATGTCTGTCTGTACTTATGTTCCGAATAGAAAATTCCATTTCTGAACCGATCCGGACCAAACTTGGCACACATACACTACGGGCCCCGGCGGGTGTCATAGGCTACTTTTCGTCATCGACCGATGTCGATTTTATCGATTTTTATCGATTTTTTTGCTGAGCTCACCTACGGGGCTGGGAGTTGGCACAGGGGGGGGAAGTGAGCATGGGGAATCCGAATACAATATTGGTTTTCAGGATTATCGATTACTTTTATCGATTTTATCGATTTTTTTGCAAAGTTTGAGCTAGGGGGCTGGGAGTTGGCACAGGGGGGTAATCGAGCATGCTGATCATCCCCAAGGGGGGTGATCAGCATGCTATTACACCCCTGTGCCAAATTCCAGCCCCCTAGCTCGAATTTTCAAAAAATCGATAAAATCGATAAAAGTAATGGATGATCTTGAAAACTAATATTGTATTCGTAATCAGCATGCTCGATTACCCCCTGTGCAAAATCCCAGCCTCGCATGTCAAAATTTACAAAAAATCGATAAGATCAATAAAAGTAATCGATAATTCTGGAAACTAATATTGTATTCGGAATCCCCATGCTCACTTCCCCCCCCCCCTGTGCCAACTCCTAGCCCCGTAGGTGAACTCAGCAAAAAAATCGATAAAAATCGATAAAATCGATATCGATCGATGACGAAAAGTGGCCTATGACACCCGCCGGGGCCCGATGTGTATGTGTGCCAAGTTTGGTCCGGATCGGTTCAGAAATGGAATTTTCTATTCGGAACATACGTACATACATACATACATACAGACAGACATACAGACAAACAGACATTCAGCTTTATATATAAGATTAACTCACGTTGAGGCAACTTAGACTTTTTTGCACGCAGGCAGTGAGCTTCTGAAAGATGGGTGAAATGTTAGCTGCGTCACGTCTGCCCCATACATATTTCAATGCGTCACCCTGAATTCACATTCGATCAAACAGTATATTTGTAACAACTGTGCAAGCAACCTAGCACTCGATATAGAAATACAAAACGTAGAAGACTTCATCTGCAGTTCACCTTCAGCAACTCAGTCAACTGTTCATTCTTTATTCCAAAGTTGCAGTTTCGCAATTTGTTCCGTTATAGCAAATAACTGGAAAAAATTTACGTTTATTTGATTTACTATTTAGGATGTACCTGCTTGTCAGAAAAACTCTTTAAGAAGTCAACTGTAAAACAATTGTGAAAATCTTCCATGACGATGATCGGGTTCTTGGATGCAGTACCTTCCGCGACATAAATGGGTGGCACGAGTAACGGTTTCGGTTGTACTGAAGTGCTTTAGCTCAAGCTGCCACCAATGTGCGATGAGGGTGAAGGAATGAAGGTCAAGTCTTAGACATCTATGAAGGCGACTGTCGGCTAGAGTATAACGTTTCCGGTCAGGCCAAGACTGACATGATGCGCGGCACCGCCATAGTTTTGCATTACGTCTACGGTTTGCTACAGGTGCTTGTGTAAACATCTGTCTGTTCTCTCTTCATTTCCTCCGATCTCTCCCCCAATGCTTTGCCCCTATATAGCGCCCTAGCGTTGTGAGCTCGTATTTTCGAGCCGTT